ATTTCTTTATAACATTATTACCCTTTAAAAGAAATGAGGATATCAATCCAACAATAGCAAGTCACACGGAGATGAGTCCTGAATATTTGGAGCTTGCAGCAAAAGAATCGACTCAATTACAATCAGAAGAACTCATAGAACCCACTACATCGCAATGGACATGCCAAGCATTTTATGTTAGCAAAAGAAGTGAGCAAATTAGAGAAAATTTAAGACTTGTCATTGATTATAAGCCCCTAAATCATTTTCTTACAGATGATAAGTTTCCTCTCCCAGATAAGAGAACCATGTTTGCAAAGCTGGCAAAAGCAAAAAATCTTTTCTAAATTTGATTTGAATGCTGGTTTTTGGCAACTGGGGGTCGAACAAAACAAAAAAAAAGGCACAAGACATCATTCTGTATACCAATCAACATTTTCAATAGACGGTTATGACTTTTGGTATAAAAATGGCACATTCTTTATTTCAAAAGGCGATGGTAAATTTTTTTCAGCCACTACTGAAAATAGCATTAATTTATATTGATGATATCCTATTGTTATTTGCGAATAAGAATATTAATAAGTTACTGCTCTAGAAGTTCACAGAAATTGTTAAAGAATATGAGATCATGTTGTCCCAAAAAAAGATGATTATTGCAGTTTCTGAAATTGAATTTCTTGGGATGCATATCAAAAATGGTTGTTATTCACTACAACCATACATTGCTTACGAACTCTTCAAATTTCCTGCTAAAAATTTGGTGAAACAGCAGGTCCAACAATTTCTTGGCGTAGTAAACTACATAACTGACTTCTTCAAACAGTTAGTCCCTGTTATACGACCTTCACATGAAATGCTAAAGGAAAATCCTCCGTAATGGTCATCCAGGCAAGCTCAGACCATCAAAAGGATCAAACAAGAAGTCCATAATCTTCCAGCACTAAAAATTCCCACCGAAGAATTCTACAAACCGATGCAAGTGATCTATATTGGGGAGCAATGATTCTAGAAGAAAATGATGTGAGAGAAACATTTGTGGCTACAAGAGTGGTATGTTCAAAGAATCGAAGGAACATTACAACTCTACATTCAAAGAAATTCTTGCTATAAAATGGGGAATTGAAAATTTTCAGTTTCACCTCATTGGTAACAAATTTTTGGTAGAAATGGACATGAAGGCATTTCGTCAAAAGCTGAATTCAAAAAGAAACAGATTCCAAATTCACAGCTTTTGAGATGGGCGGAATGGTTTTCCAACTTTGACTTTGAAATCAAACATATCAAAGACAAACATAATTTTTTTTTACCTAATTTACTCTCCAGAACAAAACCTTATATCCAACCATAAATCCCTAACATTTGCATGATGAATTCGTCTTCACAAAATCCTCCCATCTAAAACTTTTCTCCTGAACTTCAAACTCTCATCAGAAAAAAAACTATCCACTCAAGATCAAATGAACTCGTGCTAAAATATCAGTATATTGTTATTAGACAAAATGGGAACCATATTCTTGGTGGACTTGGCTTTCACTCAGAATATCCATTTTTAAATCTCTTTTATTTTAATCCATAACAAATTCAAGAAAAAATTTCAAAAGAACTTTTGTGTTTCATATGGTGTCTTCTTGAGATACATCAAATTGCAATTTGTTTTAATGCTAATATCATGGTCTCATGGCTTTCACCACTTTAGAAGGATTACCCAGTATACATTTCTCACTCAAATGATGAAGTTGTAAGATTTTTTGAATGGTTTTATCCTCTCTTACATTGGAGAGAAAAATTTCAATTTTTTTTAATCTAAAATTCAAAGATATTAGAACTTCATCTGTTAATGTCCATGTAATACTAGTGTTCCAAAGACAGGATTATTTCATCGAAGAAGGGTATTATGAACATCTCTCTCACGTTCTAGAATATACGGCCCAGTCGTTCAATCTCCACAAAGAATGAAAAAGATATCCTCAGGAATTCAGAACATTCTAAAGAAAGATGATAGAACAATTTTTGCAAAAATTTGACCTAAGATTGATAATGATGCTCTATGGGAAATTCTTCCAATGGAATATGTGCAAAGGATCCAACAGGGCATTCAGGCTAATATAAAAAGTTTTAAGCCAAATCCACAATTGGTATCCAACCATCCCCTAGAAGACTATCATTTTGACAATTGTTGGAATCAATTATATTTAGGACGACCAACATAAAGTTTGGGACAGATAGCTAAATTTCAGAAGATACTCCTAAAGGACACCAACTCAGAAAGAAAACGTTGAAAATGTTTAATGAAAATGTTCTTTGTACTACTCTTCACATGGGATGTGAAAATCCACATCTCACAAAAAAAAGAGGAAAAGAAATGATATCACAAGATAGAACAAGCTTAAGCCAACAAGCATTAGCAAGCCAACTTGAACCACAATTTCCCAATTTCAAGATTCTCAAAACCCATGGTCTTTTGACACTTTTGACCCTAACTCTCTTGATAAACTTGAGCAACAACTGGAAAAGGAAAGAAAAGAAAATATGCTTTGGTAGAAAAAACTAGATTAGCATTAGATTCGGATGAAATGGCCATGGCAGCAAATCTGAGCACTCCTTGATTCGTAAAGATCATCTTAAGTTAAAAGTATCTTAACATTTTGTATGTGCTAATTGTCATCTCACAAAATAATTGATAAAGCACTGTTTGCTTTATTAAAGTAGATTCCACTTTATCAACAGTAGATCTGGTAAAAAAGATACGTGTCCGCTAGTGTAATAATTGTACTCGTGTCTTGTATGTTTTAAATTGTTTGTCCGATTGGCTAATTATTGTACCAGTCCATGTGACTGTAGAAGATTCTTCTCCTATAAATGGGACTCTCATTCATTGTAGGATTATCGAAAAATTCAAAAATAAAAGCTTGAGTTCCTTAAAGATCACGAGTTTCTAAATCCTCTATGTTTCTCACTGGAATCCAAAATATCGATATTAGTTGTAACAAGTCATGATAAGCCAGCAATTTGAACAGTAATAAAAGTATGCTATGATATTGCCTCTCTGGAGGATCCTTAGCATAAAAAATTATGCTGCAGACTAAAAAAACCTAATCAATGCATGCAAATAAGAAGATTTGACCGGGGTTGATGACATATCAAATTTCGAAAGGCAATAGACTTTCATGATACTACCATTTTGACTAGAGTGGCACACAAAAAACGAGTTGGGCACCCATTACCCATAGGTTGTAGGTTAAGCTCAACAATGAAAGGTTCTTTCAAATGATTGACCCTTGAAATGCTGATGAAGTTGAGATTGAGGATAGGGAGTGTGATGTTGCCTAAGGAAAAATTGAAGAAACAAGACAAAAGCAGAGACATGTGAGGTTGCTTCCGTTGAAGAGAAACTCGATCAAATCATTATCAATATTGATGAGCACGTGGAAACCATTGGACACTTATTCAAAACATTAGAAATTCGTGTAATTGGTTAGCTAAAGGTTTCACAGGTGATGTCCAAAGTGTTATAGATAGACATGCATCTATGAGGGATGACGTCAAAGCACTGAAGGACGACGTTCAATATGCCATGTCGCGACAAGCTTTGTAGGGAAAATTTTTTGGCTGCCTCCATGTCAAAGTCATGGATTCTGTCATTGCCATGTGAGGTCATATCAACCGCTTTGCAGTTACAATGGAGAAAATGAGTAACAAGCAAACAAACTATTGACGGTTCGAGTGCGATAGGATTGCTTAGTCACATCTAACTTTTGATAATAAGCATAACAAAATTGTTGAAATAATGTTTGTAGTCCATGACTACGTAGTAATATCTCTTGGTCCAATTTTCACCGAACCTTCATTTAATCACTCAACTTAATTTTGTTGTAATTTGTCTTCAATTTTTTCCCCCTAATTTTCAATTAAAGCACTATGGTTTTTTCCCCCATTTCAACTAAAGCTCTTTGTTCTAATTTTAGTACACATATTTTAACTTATTTTTTAGTGTTCACAAAAAAGAATTTTTATATTACTCGTTTTGAACTTAAATTAATCTTACATTTAAGTTTCGCAAACGAGGCTCAAGTGGAGGACAATATGCGACATGTGATAGACTAATGAAATTTCTTAAAATTAAATTGAAGCTCAACAATAAATTAAAACGAATATTTAACTATCCAATTAAAATTTCATTGAATTATGATGTAATAAAAGTATTGTTTATTCTTTTTCAAAAGAGAAAAATATTGTTTATTAGAAACCCCAAGCCCATTAAAAAAAGAAAAAAAGAAAAGAAAAAAAAACCAGTAGACACGTGCGTCTCTGCGAATGATGTGACACAGGTCACACAACCTAAATTTTCTGACCACCAATCTGTTCTATATCAGCATCACATCCGCCCGTATGTTAATAAAACCAATTTGTAAGTTGTATAAACGGCTAGCAATAAAGAAATTTTCAATCTTTTATCTGCACCTTAACAAAGATGCGAATAATTGAACAGTGTTTTTAGAGCTCCATTACCTCCGGAGGTGAAAAGGGTAACATTTGATATCTGGCTTCTCTTTTCAATTCACTAATTTATTAGGATTTAGGATTTTACATTTATATGTTGAATTGAATGTGGGTTCTTCGTTTTGATTACTATAGGTTCAAATTTTTCCTCGGGACTGTAAAGGTAATTCTTTTTTCTTTTTTTATGTGTGTATATAAACTGAGTGGTCGTCTTTTTTCTTCTTTTTATTGTATTGGGGTGGAATTTTTATGACGTAGAATGAGTTATTATTTTTTTTAATATTTTGAGCTGATAAATGTTTGACTTTGTTTCCACTGTATATTGGATTCATGAGGATTTTCGTTATTGAAGCTTGGTTTTTTTTGTTGTTGTAAAGGATGATTATTTTGTTTAGATTTTTGCTGTGAATGGCAAATATTTGTTTTTCTCGTTGTTAACTGGATCTGTTGGAATATAAGTGTCACCAGAGCTGGATATTTATGATCTGAAAAGGTAATTTGTCAATTGATTTTTTTTTTTTTTGATAATGGATATCATGGAATACTTTTGTTGTCTTTTTGATGGATTTAAGCTAATGCAAAGTATGAAAAGGATAACTGAAAAATTACTGGTTGATATGTGTGTTATTTTCTCAACTAAATACAGATTACAAGTATGTTTGGCTAAGCTTAAAATAAAATTAAAAGTTACTTTGTTTAAAACATGTTTGGGCGTTTATCTTTTCTTACCTTTATGTAAACATATGGTATTTGATTGAAAATAATCTTACATGCTATTAAATAAGTTACTTATTCAAACTTTGACACATAAAAGTAATTAATTAATGTCAAACTAACCTATTTAGTATTTTCCTCATAAGCGAGCTTTATAAGCTTAGCTGAACCTGCTTTTACCTGAGACATAACCGTTATGTGATCTCTTTTCTTTGAGAGATTTTGAGGACTGAGATGTGAGGTTTCTATTGTGTTCGTTTGAGGCCCCGGAACTTTCAACTGGCCAAGATGCCATCACTGTTTCCTTGGTTCTTGAATGTCAATCTGTTTTGTTTTTTGATGTCTTCGGTGTATGAATAGATATAAAGTTGATCTAATCTAATTTCTGAATCCTAGAGCCTTTTGTCGTACTATGTTAAGGGTGGCTGTTTTTAACTGTATTCTGAGCTTCATGCATTCAGTCTAGCTGTATGTATTAGTACCAAGCTATTCGTTATTGTGGAAAAATTTCTTTCAAGGCTATAAATAGCTGAAATTGACCTTTATTGTGAAAGAAGAATTTTAATTTTTGCTGAAATATGCCACTATCCTTCAATGTTTTCCTGAGGATGCTGGGAATGCCAGTTTAGTGGGCCTCTTGACAAAAGTTGCATTCAGAAGGTCCTACAGAATGAACCAAATTTTGGCAGGTAAATAGATGAATCAAATTGACATGGACCTCAATGAAGACCGCAATTACTTGCCAACTCCAGGGGCGGTGGGTTTAGGCCAAGAATCAAGTAGGGGCAAAAGAAAGTTGACCTCAAAGGTATGGAATTACTTGCTTCCTTCGGGGATCACAATTTTTATAGCTGAAACTAGCCGGGTGACACTTAAAAAGTTTATATAGCTGAAAAAGAAGGCATGGCAGGATTACATAAAACAAGCATGCCAAACTTGCATGGGGATGGCCCAACAGTATATGGGCTTAAATTGTTCTATCCAATTTTATAGGCTCTTAGGGTCTCTCAGGTTTCAGCATGACATGTGCAAAAAATGTTCAGCATCGGGGAGGCTTTCTGGCCTAAATATTCTCTTATCTGGACCCTAAATATTTTATTCTCTTGGTTTTCTGATATTATAAAATTGCCTCTGGACCAGCAGGGGCTAAATAAAAGAACTTTCAGTATACACTCTTTGTTTCAACGAAAAGAAGTACTGAAGTACATAGTTTTTGACTTGCAGTTTTGTTTGGAGAATCTTCCCAACGCTCTAATGTTAGCATACCAAAGCTTCGGGGTGGTATATGGAGATCTGAGCACTTCACCTCTTTATGTTTATAGAAGTATATTTGATGGGAAGTTGCAGAATCACCAAAATTCTGATGCAGTATTTGGTGCATTTTCATTAATATTTTGGACATTAACGCTTATTCCTCTGCTGAAATATGTATTTATGTTGCTGAGTGCTGATGATAATGGTGAAGGTATGCTAAAGTGGATCTGTTCTACAATATTAACCAATAAAAATTTAGTTCTGACTAGTTCTGACCAACCATTCTCAATCACCTCAGGTGGTACTTTTGCTCTTTACTCCTTGCTTTGCAGACATGCAAAATTCAGTTTACTTCCCAATCAACAAGCAGCTGATGAGGAGCTGTTGGCTTACAAATATGGTCCCTCAGGACAATCTTCAACATCTTTAGCATTTAAGAGGTTTCTCGAGAAACACAAGAAGTTGCGTACACTTCTGTTGTTTGTAGTATTACTTGGGGCTGGTATGGTAATAGGTGATGGTGTAATTACTCCTGCAATTTCAGGTATGAGAATGTTATCGTTGATGTGGTTCCAATGAGATCAGTTCAAAGAAATTTAATGTTATCTTCATTATTGACTATTTCGGTATCGACTGTGGGTCAAGCTTGATGCCAAGTTAAACAACTTTAAGATCATTTCTTTCTATAATGACCTTACATGAGTCTATATTGTGCTTTGGCTAATACTGTTAATTTTATATGTGACACTTATACAAGGGGGTTCAGTTTGTGCTATCGCTAATATCTAGTCTTGAAGTTTATGTTTAGATTGTTATGATTGAGCATGAGGGGAAACGAACCAAATCTTTTACCTAATTTGACGAAATGATGGTGCTTACTTTAAGTAGTTATTTAGATTGAGAACACAACAGAAACATTTCAATGGGGAATACTCTAATGAAATAAACCAAATCTTTTCCCTAATTTGACGAAATGATGGTGCTTACTTCTAGTAGTTATTTATATTGAGAACACAACAGAAACATTTCAATGGGGAATACTCTAATGAAATGAACCAAATCTTTTCCCTAATTTGACGAAATGATGGTGCTTACGTCAAGTAGTTATTTATATTGAGAACACGAGAAATACTTCAATGGAGAATACTCCATACCAAAATCATTTTTTAAGTAGTCATGTTTGTTATACATTTGATCCTTTGTTTTTTCCTTCTCCCTTATTCATGTACTTACTGTGCATTTGATATTTGCTATTACTTCAGGTATTGTAACAAAGCTCTGTTTCACTCTCTTAACAAACAATGTATACATTATTTTATGACAGTTCTATCATCAGTATCTGGTCTTGAAGCTGCTGGAACAAATTTGAGTAAGGGTATGCACTGTTCTTCGTTTTATGTTGAATAGAGCCCTATTTGTTTTGATACAGATGTATTATAAATATCTTTTCTGGACCGAGTTATTGTCCTGATTATCAAGACAATATTCTATATGTAGGTGAAGTACTATTGATTGCTTGCATCATATTGGTCGGCCTGTTTGCTTTGCAGCATGTTGGAACCCAGAAGGTCGGTTTCTTATTTGCGCCCATCGTTATTCTCTGGTTGATATCAATTTTTTCCATTGGGCTTTATAATACAATACATTGGAACCCGAAAATTGTTTTGGCTCTTTCTCCACACTATATCATCAAGTTCTTTAGTCAAACTGGTATAGATGGATGGATTTCACTTGGAGGGGTCCTCCTCTCAATAACAGGTAAATAAAATCTAAAGCTTTGTCTCTTGAGAACATTACAATCATTTTTCTTTTGTTAGATTTAGACGTGGACCCTGTTTTTGAATCATGTTAATTTAATATGTTAACTTGTCTATGAGAATTTGCTTGAGCTTTGAAACTAATGCCTGTACATTGTGGGGTTATCAGGCACAGAGGCAATGTTTGCAGATTTGGGTCATTTCAGTGCGTTTTCAATAAGGGTAAATCCACATCTTTGTAGCTGTAGCAAACATTCAGGTGTGAATGTGCATAATAAGAATGCAATATTTTATGCTTTATGCTAGGATAGTAAGAACTTAATATTTATTTTGATGAGCTTAGAGACCTAGAATATATAATTTTTCTCCTGCTAGAACTTGTAGAGTTGTGAATCCCATGACTTACTTCGTTTGTGGGTGGAGAGCACACCTGTTAGTGTTGGATAAAAATCCATTTTAATCTTGTCTGTGGTTTATCCAGTGACATATAATTACAATCTACTCATTATCTCACTTTTAATCTGAATGTTTTCTGTTTGTTCAGATTGCATTTGCATTCGTCGTATACCCTTGCTTGGTAGTGCAATATATGGGCCAGGCTGCTTTTCTATCGAAAAATATTTCTTCAATCCCGAACGGCTTCTATGATTCGGTTCCTGGTTAGTTTTGTTTCTAGTTATGCTGAGATTGATATCATGGTTTTCTTTTCCTAAGCCTGGTAATTTTGGATTGCCTTGCAGATGGTGTATTTTGGCCTGTCCTCATTATTGCCAGCCTTGCAGCAATTGTTGCGAGTCAGGCTATCATTTCGGCCACATTCTCTATTGTTAAGCAATGTCATGCTCTTGGTTGCTTCCCACGCGTAAAGGTTGTTCACACCTCAAAACATATCCGTGGACAGATCTATATACCAGAGATTAATTGGATCCTCATGATTCTTACTCTTGGTATAGCTATTGGGTTTCAAGACATAACTACAATTGGAAATGCATATGGTACGTCATAAATGTTCAATAGCATTCATTGTTTCATTTTTTTTTTATCAACGATAAGATCATTTTTTTTATTTTTTATTTTTGGAATTTAATCATTCTAAGATAAATGTCTTGTATGCATCGTATAATGTTCCAATAGCTATGAACATAATATAATTATTACTTAGAAAATGCCACGTGACATTACTTGAGCATCGTTGAAAGATATCAATAGTATCTATTGGGAGATGCTATCGAGAATATCTCAACATATAATGAACTGTTGCATCAACTGAATTACAGAGCAATTATGCTTACTGATGTCCGGAATATTTTGTTTTCCATTCTCCGATAAATCGACTTCTCATATTTTCAACTCTTAACTAGAAGTTCTATAAATCAAGGCTCCTGTGATGTGGATTCATATGGTTTCCCTTACAGTATTATATGAATCTAGATCTTAATCATTTTATTATGCTATTTTCATTGATTGAATTCTAATTTTTCTCTTTTTGAGTTTCTAACACGTCATATGGAAAGATGAAAATTTTGATCTCTGCGCTTCTGCCCTCTCTAACCTCTCCTCTCCCAGAAAAATTTGCGAAAGAAAAGAACTTCACTTGTGGTCTTCCTGTTGAAATTGTGCTTGCTCCTGAGAATTATGCATTCTCGTGATTATCAATAATTATGTACATGAATATAATGTACTTGATCCCCTATTATTGTTTTTCTGTCTACTGTATAAGCAAGAAAAAGAAATTGCATAAAAGAGAATAAAAATGAGAAAGGGATTTGTCTTTGATTGTGGAGAATGGTGACTGGCAAATGAAATGAGATACACAAGAATATGCTAACAAAAACAAAAAGAACTATATAGTCTTATTAGCAGGTTCTGATTACAAAGACAGCAATGATCTAGCATCTTCTTTTTGTGCAAACTATTATAAGATAAATCACATTTCTTAAGAGAGCTCATACTTCTACTGTGACTTATCTGACAACTTGATCTGCTGTGGATCATTTTCATGGTGTAGAACATTTAAACTTTGAAAATCCTTTTTTTTCCCTATTAATTTGGTATGTTCTTCAGTTTCTATTATCCTTTTTGAATAATATACTGAAATCTATTTACTTGTTATGAGTTATTTCTTATACTCAAGCTTCTTTTTGCCAGGCTTAGCTTGCATGTCAGTTATGTTTATTACAACTTTTCTCATGGCACTTGTCATGGTCTTTGTATGGCAAAGAAGTATTGTACTAGCTGCTGCTTTCCTCCTTTTCTTTTGGTTCATTGAAGGGGCTTATCTACTAGCTGCATTTACAAAAGTTCCTCAGGGAGGATGGGTGTCCCTTGTTCTGTCTTTCATCTTCATGTTTATCATGTTTGTTTGGCACTATGGAACTCGCAAGAAGTACAACTTTGATCTATACAACAAAGTGCCGATGAGATGGATCCTTGGCCTCGGCCCAAGCCTTGGCATTGTCCGTGTGCCTGGGATAGGCCTCGTATATTCAGAGCTTGCAACAGGAGTACCTGCAATCTTCTCACATTTTGTCACAAATCTCCCAGCTTTTCATAACGTTTTGGTGTTTGTTTGTGTAAAATCTGTTCCAGTGCCCTATGTCTCTCCTGAGGAACGCTTCCTCATTGGCCGCATTGGCCCGAGACCCTATCGCATGTATCGGTGCATTGTGAGATATGGGTACAAAGACTTGCAGAAAGATGATGAGAACTTTGAGAATCTTCTAATTCAAAGTGTCGCCGAGTTTATCCAAATGGAAGCTGTAGAGCCTCAGTTTTCAAGCCCAGACGCTGCATCATATGACGGGAGAATGGCAGTCATAAGCTCCCGCACTATTCAATCCAGTTCAACTCTAATTGTGTCGGAGACTGAGGATTTTGGTTCGATTAGTTCCATTCCAAGCAGTAAATCTTTAACTCTCCAAAGTTTAAGATCTGCCTACGGTGATGAGAACCCACCAATCAGAAGGCGTCAAGTGAGGTTTCAGGTACCACACAACCCCAGGATGGATCCTGCAGTAAGGGAAGAACTCTTAGACTTGATCCAGGCGAAAGAAGCTGGCGTTGCTTATATACTAGGACACTCTTATGTGAAGGCAAGAAGATCATCTTCATTCCTGAAGAAATTTGTGATTGATATCGGCTACTCATTTCTTCGTAAGAATTGCAGGGGTCCGGCTGTGGCGCTTCATATTCCTCATATTAGTCTGATTGAAGTAGGCATGATATATCATGTCTAGGGATTTGTTCACTGTAAGTCTTTTCTTCATGGCCTTCCTGGACTTGTCCTTACAGGTAATTCGTGGGAATGCAACAGCCTAAGACGCCATGTCGGCTACTCTATAAACTCATCTTTTTATGTATATACACACAACTCTTAACTAAGAAGTATATCGTGTTGCTCAGCATTCATTTGTTGAACCTTGTTTATAAGTGAGGATTTGAGCATAGGTTTATGCTTTGTTGTTGCAATTCACTATTTACCTCTGCATCGGCTTTGTTCGTAGATGAGTGATTAAAAAATTCAAATGCAGCAACTATCGCCCCTCGCGTTTATTTTTCCATTAAAATATACTTGTTCCATACCTCAGTGTCGGTTTTTCATATTTCTTATCTTGTTTTCACGAGAGCTTTTGAGATTGAAAAGTTGCAATAATTTATGATGTGATGAGGGATCCGTACTTGTTTAGACATTTAGCATTGAATCTTTCATTTTTATTTGTATTGATAGTCTTATTCGATAGTTTTTTATTTATTTATTTATTTATTTATTTATTATTATTATTATTATTATTATTATTATTATTATTATTATTATTATTATTATGCTGTTAAAATGGCTAATCAAAAATAATTTCAATAAAAAGTAATTTTGAAACTCTACGAAGAAGAGAAAAAAGAAGAAGAAAATAACAATATCTTTCATGCTTTCTACTCTGTATGTATTTATTTTCTAGAAAATATTTTCTTTAAGAAAAAGATAGCTTAATGTCAAAATTTTTAAATAGGTTACTTATAAGTAGAGTCAAACATTCTTATTCATGAAAATTGAGAATTTTTGAGAAAATCTTTCAAGAATAACTGCAAAATGAGTTAAATGGAGCAAGGATCATCGACAAAATTTCTATACATACTTGGGGACAGTATTATCGTCGGTGATGCTAATGAAATTAAACATTTGGTAATTTGGACAGAATAATTGACAAAAAAATTATCAATCATTATCCACGTTCCTCTGTCAAAGTTTAGCCTGATAGTAATATATAAGTTGTATGATTAGCAATCATAGATGGTGACTACACCGCACCAACAAGAAAGTTGTTGATGAAGAAATTAAGTGTCAAACTAGTGAAATTTTATGTAATGAAACAATTCATGTTAAAATATTTTATTCATTTTGGCAGATTTTGTCTCAATAAAAGAGAAAAAAAACTAATTAAAAATTGGGCGAATTGAAATAATACTCGGCAAAGTGGAAATCCCAAATTGAAAGAAAATAGTTCACATTCAAATTAAATTCATGTTTCTCATTTTTTTATTTTTATTTTTATTTTTATTATTATTATTATTTTTTTTCTTGTTTGAAATTTCTTATTTCCAACTGCAATAAAAGTTGAGACAGCACGTTTGATGCGCGACAGTCGATCCAATACCATGAATACTCTTGAAACTAGGGAGGCTTTGACTTCGATTTTACCATACTTACCACTAATTCTCCGTTCCTCGGCACTATTCTGGCCGCCGCCGATGGTGGAAGCGCTGAAATCCCTAGCCAGAGGACCTCTGCACAGCAACGTTAACTCGGGTCAAGTTTTTGCCATCGCCATTTCAGACCTTCGTAATTTACTTAGTTTGCCGGATTCCGCCCTCCACCCCTCCGCACTTCACGGTTATGCCCTCTTCTTTGATGACGTAAGAATTTATTTAATTGTTTCATTTTGCCTGTTCAATTTTTCGTTTAAGATGAATAGCGTCTAACTTTAGGCGATCATGGAGTAAATTTTTGAAAGATTTTACTCATTATGTCAACGTTTGCAAGTTTTGATAAAATTTATAGGTTATATTAAGCATAAATATGTTTTTTGCTTTATTCAAATTGCTGCTTGGCATTGCATTTCTGTCCATGCCAAATGAATTTTTCACTTCGATGCTACCCTGCAAGAATAGTTATTATACTACAATCCAAAGTGGGAATCTTTTGAACTCAAATGTAATTTAGAAACATTAAACGTGTGAGAGGCTATGCATAGTATGAACACGAAAATGCGACTGGATCTGCTAACTGACTATCTATGTAAATTTTAGGCAAATGGAAGATATTTACCATGTTAAGAGAGAGGTTCTATACAATGGTTATTGGACGAGTTACTTTATGATACTCAGAATTAGGCCATTACGGGACAACTTCCATAATACTAACATCATTGAAGTGAGGATGTTAAGGTCACGTTCGAAGAATAATATAGGAAATAGAAATATGGGCCAACTGGAGGTTGATGGGTCTTGACTTGATTAGGCCTAAAAGAGTTCCTATTTGCAAGAGTGATATACTTCTGACAGGAGAGAATGGTAGACCAAAATTGCCATGACTTGAAGTTTTTGCAAAAGATTAATTTACAAAAGACAGTTCTAAGGAATGGCAAAGGAGGATACATATAACTAACCCCTAAGTTTATTTCGGATAAGCCTTACCTTGTTGTTCTTGACATCTTATTGTATTCTAATGGGTTGTAGTGAAGTAGTAAAGTGATTTGCCTCATTCTTGTATTTCAAATGCACAATTTATTTGCTGAGTGAAGGATAATAAGACTGATTTATTCTAATTAATTTGGCTGCTTTGATTTTAGTTTATGAGTAGGGACGCGTCTGAGAAGTGGTTTGGCAATGTGGTTCCACAACTGGCGGATTTGCTATTGAGGTTACCAGAATTGTTGGAGTCACACTATCAAAATGCAGCTAGTTTCAATGGAACAGAAACTGGTCTTCGGTTACTGGAATCACAACAGCAGGGTATTGTGTTTCTCAGTCAGGTAAACTTGTACTATAGTTTTTAAGCTTGACCACCTGTATAGATTTTTTTCAATGCTAACTCATTTACTTTAGCAGCACATAACATTTCAGATTGAGTAACACGGTATTCATGTTCCCCAATTTTACTTGTTTTCTCAAACTTTTGGAACTTTGAATGGGTGATGATTATAGTAGTGTATGGTGTTATCAAAGTCTGAATGTCAACCCCACTTTGGTTTATCCTAAGCTGATTTAAAGTTGAATACTCTATTTGTCTTTTGAAAACGAGTTTAAACCTTTTAGGTGATGAAATTATACCACTTTCCATTCTATTTCTGAATTCAATTTTGGATAACCCAACTGCTAGGTCAGATTTATGGTATGAAATTACGTAAGAATTGATTTCCAACCTTAAGATAACTGTTCTAGATTTTGAAGTAATTAGATTCATGTGTAGTTTTTAGAACTTCAAACCATTTATTTTTGCAGTGACATCAAATGCACCTTCTGTGTATTGCTCAAAATGCTCTTTGCAGTTAGCTTTGGCTGTGTTTTATTTGATTGTTCTCTGGCTCATGAAATTTGAACTGCTATTTGTCCTTAACCGAATTCAAAATGAGGTGTGGAAGTTTCCTACTAGGTGATGAAATTACCACGTTCCAGTTCATTTTGGAATTCGTTGGGATACGCAATTGCTTGGTTATTTACGATCAAACATTGCATTGGAATTTTTTTAAAAAAATTCTAAGATGGCTATTTGGATTTTAAATTAAGTTTGCGCTAACTTATTACTAGTTTTGAAACCATTTTACCTTATATATACGTCAGATGTACTCAGCTCTACAAATTGCTAGAAGAACGTTATTTGAGTAACGTTGACTGTGTTCTTCTTAGATTCCTGAAATTTTAACTCTCTTCTTCATGGTGTTATGAAAGTTTACAATTTTTTATTTTGTGCTGGCAATGTTGTTTTAGTAATGTATAATTATAGTTGCAATTTGTAACCCTAGAAAAACTGAAATTTATGAGATTAGTTATGTTTTCTGTATTTTGATATAGAGCCAAAAATAACTGGGGATATCATGTTGATATTCATACTGCCTGATTCAAACAGGGAAAGAGATGGATAAATTGAAACACTGTTTAAACTTTGTTTTACGTTTGTACTTGTAATATGATTGTGCTACAATGTTCCATCAAACACACTGAAATGGCAATTGATATTATCCTCCGTGAATCTATTCTAGCAAATGAGCGGTGGCGGTGGTGGTGGCACTCAAGTATTTTTCTTGTTAACTGTGATTGGACAAGTCTTCCCCTGCTTAAGGTTTAGATCTCCACTTCTTTGGTGCCTGCGTTCCAGTTCAGAAACCTTAGAGAAATCTCAGTAGAGGTGCCAGGCTGTGTCCCTGTGAAAACCCTCCCTTGGACTCTCAAGTGAGAACATCAACAGTATGGAAGAACAGGGGTGAAAAAATGATTTTTGCATGAGTAATTGTATATGAATCTTTAATTGACTCAAAGATTTCTTTAAGATGCCCTTTTTCTCATCTATATTTGATAGGCTGCATGCATTGCTCAATCAAGGCTTACTACTGTGTTGGCTAGGGTTGCAGCTGTCAGCCGTGCCTTTTCAGTATTTAGTTGGCTCTTGTTTTGTTAGTTGGTTGAGCGAATGCACATGGTGGTCCTATTGGGTTCGAGGGGATGACTTATACCAACTTAAAAGGTCCTGTGCCTTAAATAAGGGGAATGAGTTTGGGCGAATTTTTAGCTGTGTATTTGATAATTGGGCCACAAATCAATCCTTACTACTGTAAAATTATACCCACTACAGGAGGTTCCAAAATACAACACTTGGGATAATGACTAAATATCAGCGAAACATGATCTTATGATAAAAAAAAAAAAAAAGAAAAGAAAAGGGAAATGAGAAACCATTTATCTCTACTCAGGTTGACTAACTGTCCTATTGCTTTTAATGGTTGCTGGATATTGTTTTATTTTCTTTTTTTCCATTTCCATTATGAATTCCTCTTGTCAAAGGGATTTCTATTGCTTGTAGCTTTAACTTATCCATGAATAACATAATTCAGTTGTTTGGTGCAATCACCTGGAAAAAATAAAGAAGAGTGGAATGAAACAAACATTGTGCTATAAACCCCTTGCCATTTTTCACCTCATGAATTTAAGCATCCTTTTTTCTGTCTTAAAGTTTGGTGTGTTCTATCTTCTTCGTGACTATGATTTGTGTTCTGATAGTATGAATTCTGATCGTGAGTGCTTTTGTTTATTTCAGGAATTGATTGCTGCTCTTCTCGTTTGCTCTTTCTTTTGCTTGTTTCCGGCCACTAATAGAGGTGCCAAACATCTCCAAGCAATCAACTTTGATAATCTATTTGTGTATGTTTTCATCCACTTGCCCAATTATGTTTTTATTTTTCTTATTTGTTGTCTTTTGCATCCATACTGATGGCTGTTGATAAATATATAAGAACGTGCCAATTTTAGTAAAAATAACTGTCCTGTTTTCCATATAGTTCCCTCAAGGCCTCAACTTATATGTGTAAAGAACCTTAGATTGACGTTTTAATGGAGGTGCTAAATTTTACATAGTAATATTTGTGCAAAACAAATTGATTACCTTTCAAAAAAAATAAAAAAAGGAAAAATAAATAAATAAATGAATCTATATATATATAAGGATAAGGACGTATCGACGGAAAATAAATTGCACATGTCGAATGGATCAGAGAAGGTAGGGTTCCCCTGCAAACTATTCGAGCTAAAATTGATTATTGTTCCTATACAGTTCGAACTATCTATGGGGTCTTGGGTATCAAAATTTGGATATTTATAGACGAAGAATAAGAAATCTTACTTGTCTTTCCCTTCTATCCATTGATAGAAAAAAAAAAAATAGAAACTCGTTCATTCTTTTTCTGGTGAATCAATCATCGGTGCTTCGTATTTTTTATTTCAGCATATCGATTTACGCATACGCCTAGCCTATATTTTTTCTTTTCGTTTTTTTATACCCTTTCATAGACGAATTCCGCATATTTTCACATCTAGGATTTACATATACAACATATATCACTGTCAAGAGGGAATTTCTTGTTAGTTAGGTTAGGTTTATATATATATATATATTTATTTATTTATTTATTTATTTATTTATCCTTTTTTTTTAAAGGTAATCAAATTGTTTTGCACAAATATTACTATATAAAATGTATGTATTGCATGTTGTAGAAGGAAAACATCATTAACAGGCTCTAAATCTTGCTCTAAATCTTTTAATGATGCACAATTATGTCTGTGTGGATGGAAACCCACTATAAAGTGCCAGTACAAATGCACACAAGTGTATGCATACTAGGTAATTTTAGTGATTGTTTCTGTGAAAGTGCTCTAGTTGCGTTCGCCGTCCATTCATTTTTACCTCAATGTAACACAGGTTAGAGTTAAGTTACTAAACAACTTACAACATTCTAATATGCTCTCATTTTTTTATTTTTTTATTTTTTTTGTTGAAGCAGAATGGATTCATCTAGTTCTGTTTTTTCAGGTGTTTGTACGAGTCCCATGACATTTCACAGGAAAATAAAATAAAGTGCATTGTTCACTATTTTGAGAAGATATGCTCATGTATGCCTGTGGGAAATGTCTCATTTGAACGGAAAGTTCTTCCTTTGACAAATAGCCCATCCCACATTTCTTCCCCAAAGGCTAATTTTTGGAGCAAGTCTAGCGTCTCCCTTTGCCATTTTGAGGTAATCAATGAATAATCAACATTTATCTAGTGGTTTGAGTATTTTTTACTTTGAAGTTCAAGTTCTCGTTTAGAGCAATCCATAGCCTTATTAGACATGGCTGCTAACCTCATCCAGTCTGGAGATCAAACCAGTCAAGGGCTAGGGAAATACTGGTCCAGTGGTTCTGTGGTTGAACCAGTATGTTGCGTATATTAATATTCATATTGAAGTAATGACAATATATATGTGATTTCTTATTATTTGGGATTCAGAAATAGTGAAAGAATGTCTTAACTAGGTTATATGATTTAGAAAATGTTTGCAATAGTTAAATGCTGTTATTATATTAATTACGTTTCATATACTATTTTGATATTTGATTTTTACAACTTTGTTGTGTGCAAGTTTATTTGAAAATAAGGCGTGTACTATAATTTTCACCACTCTGAATTCTTTAGATTTTCTTTTGTTTCTTCTAACGTGAAGGAATGTAGATATTATGCATTCTCATAACATTTTTAGCATAAAATATCATCTTGTTTCTCAAAACTAATTTCAGCTGCTTTTAAGGATATAACAGTATATAGATTCAGGTTCTTCATAGAATCTTCAGTAAAGCTAACTTAATAAAAAGTTGCAGATTTTTATTTTTTCTTGTTCATATGTCGTATATTTAACTTCGGTCTCTAACAATCTAGATCTCTATCTTAACTGTTTGGAATGTCAATGGCTGCAATCCTAGATTCAATACTTTTTGCAACCATTTCACTATTTCCGAGGTGAGATGGATCTAGCTGGTTTCCTCAAACCCACCTGGAAATATCCGAGTCTGGAAGTTCATCCACCTATTGCATTTCCAATCAGATTGTCAACCAGTTTGGGATTGGTTTTAATAATTTCCCTTTATTCTCTTTGGTCTTAGTTCTTATGTAATACTTTATAATTTTATGTTTTTATCTTAATGGCCACTTGATTTTTCTTATTCAACCCTTTTTAATCACCTGGTTAAATTTGAGTTTTGGCGTCTGTTCATCTAGAACTATTCCCCTCACACATACGGAACTACCCTTTCACGTTAATATTATAGCTTGTCCTGTAAGAATAATGTTTTAAGAAAAAAATTTAAATTTTGCAAATGCTTCTGGTATGCCCCATTTTTGGTACTCAGTATATAGTTCAATTTCTTTTTGTTCTTTGGCAGGTTCATAGTTCAGGTTTGATTGAAGATCAACCTGCTGAAGCTCTTGAAGTAGATTTTGCAAATAAATACATAGGAGGTGGTGCTCTTTTCCGGGGATGTGTACAGGAAGAGATTCGTTTTATGATCAATCCAGAATTGATAGTTGGTATGCTTTTCTTGCCTGCAATGGCAGACAATGAGTCTATTGAAATTATTGGTACACAGAGATTCTGCGATTACACTGGATATGCTTCTTCATTCTGCTTTTCTGGTGACTACAAGGACGTCAAGGGTGTTGATTCAATGGGAAGGCGTAAGACAAGGATAATTGCAATAGACGCACTATCCCGTGTCGGTAAGAGACAATACACACCGGAATGCCTTCTCCGAGAGACTAATAAGGCATTTTGTGGCTTTTATGATCAATCCAGAAGACAGCAATACGAAAATCTGTTTGTAGACACTGAATTTTCGGAGGCTGAGTTTGATGAAGGCAATAGGAACCCTCTTGAAAGTTCCACGAGAAATCTCTTGACTTCCTTTCAATCAGTCAATGAAACTTCTAGTAACCAACCAATGAGGGTCAACGAGCAGAAGTGGGATGACGATAAAGTCGGGATCGCTACAGGGAATTGGGGCTGTGGTGCTTTCGGGGGAGATCCTGAAGTCAAAGCCATAATTCAGTGGCTAGCAGCGTCTCAAGCACTAAGACCTTTCATCTTATATTACACATTTGGCTTGGAGAGCTCGAGGAAGCTTGACAAGGTAGTACAATGGATTATATCCCAAAAATGGAATGTGGGAGAACTTTGGGAAATGTTGGTCGAGTATTCGAGGCAGAAACTGAAGCAACAAACCAAACTTACCTTCTTCGAATGGCTTCTTCCCTCATTATATGATGATGATCCCATGATAATGGACACGTCATTTACTTGATAAAATTCTCTGCCCATTTTCACGTCGTTTCTGAGTTTCGGAAGTTTTTATTGAATTGAAAATATGGAGTGACACAAAATGTAGATAAAGAAGGTTTGGTGTTCGTTTATTGAGACGATGTTGTGTCTGTGTTTGGATGTTCTAGTTCAATATGTTTGGAGGTGCCTAACAGAAACACAAGATACATTTTCAAAGTCGACTGTGTTAGATTCATATGAAGTTAGCACTCAACAATGTCAGCCCAATTTACTTTACATCTCTAATCACAATTAATTGATTGATGATCTTTGCTACAAGCCTCCGACCTTGAATGGTAGCTAACTTGTTACATGCTACAATGATATAGACTATGCATCGAGTATTAATTTTCTTTTTGTACTTCAGAAGTCAGGTCGTTTATTTTTAGTTTCCGTTTAGTACATCATATTATACAGTAGCGCTAATGGAAATGATTAGTTGACAATTATACTACAAGTGTTGCTATGTGACACATGAGAAACAAAAATTATAACATGAGGATTATGGCAATGTCTTAAGTTTAAAATGATATATATATATATTTTTTAAATGCTATTTATAATGTGATGAAGTGATAACATGATATGGCAGCAACAGTTACATGGAAGATCTATTGCGATATAACTGCTACTTAAGCAATATTCGTCACAATTTGGAAGCGTATTGAAGTTCGATAATCAGTCAACTAAATTAAAGTTTAGTTACTTAATTGAAATTAAATTAAAGTTTAGTGATTTAATTGAGATAAACAAAAGGTCAGTGACCCAATTGATATTTCCTTTCTACAAGTTCAGTTACTCAATTGAGGTTTCTCTAAAATGTTCAGTGACCACAGATAAACCTCCAACTAGTAACAACTGCATTTTTTTTGTCAGCAACAGAAGTAGGTAATTATATAAATATTTGTAAGATAATTAGTTATTTGGTTAACTTAAAAATGTTATCTTGCTTTCGCATTATTCTTACTTGTGATTCTACGCTTTAATGCTTAATCTTTGGCCTCAAGCCTTTCTCCTTCAGCAGAAATCTACAGTTTTCACATTTTGTTTTGTTGCTGTTTGTTTTATTTGGCCAGTTCTCTGTAAATTCTGTTCATTGCTGAAATGGGTACTTTGTTTCTTCAAATCCCATGGGTGTTGGTTATATCGTTTCACCTAAAAAAGACTTTCATATCCTGTTATTCGAATTCAAAATCAAGAAAAATTAAGAACTTTTGCTCTTTCACGTGCTAATACGATAAAAAGAGAGAATTTTTTTGTGAAAATACTGGTTTCATTTGTCTGATTAATTTTCTCACTCAGTTTTTCTAGTGAAGATAATGTAAAGGGACGTTTTCTTTATCTCCGGATTAATTCCAGATTGATGTATCAAAAATACGGAATGCATATTCATAGGAAAACTGCAATTTTGTATTGCAGCCAATGGAATTGTTTCAGCTGACCTTGAGGCCGCAACTTCGGTTTACTCATGTGAAGAATGCTATCAGAAGTAGTACAAGAGTTTCTAAAATAGAAGAATTACTGAGGCTACATGGGAGGAAGGAATAGGAAGAAGATGTATCTAGTATGATTGAGGCGGAGGAAGAGAATGATGATATCCGTCCTACGAGTGAGAAAGAGAAGAAAGAGTGGAGGCAAACGATTAGAGAAGTTATGGGTTGTTAAGACTTGAGATTCTATCTTAAAAGATCAATCTTGTTAAAAAGAGTAGTCCAAAAACTTATAAGTTAGTCTATGTTTTCATCTTTATTCGATGTGGGATTATATCCTTTAATATGCCGAGCAAAGTTTGTAGCTTGTTTGAACAAACCAATCTTGAATCGAATTGCTCGTTGAAATTTAGTGGACCCTGATACCATGTAAAAGAACAAATATTCCTATGATTTCAATGAAGAATTTGCCACACACTTTATTGATGGAAGTTCTATGTTATATACCGGATGATTGAGTAGATAGTTTTGAAAATGTATACACGATAAGGCCAAAATTGTGCTACTGTTACAATGTACAACTATAGAATTTAGAATTAAAAACAGCTCTAAATATGGAGTTAAATGGCAAAACATTTGACATGACTTTAGGCTAGACTTTATCTGTTTTGGTTTGAGCAGGATCCACGCCTTCTTCCCTTATATGCACCTGCAAGATTAAGCTTCCATCAGTAAGACCAATCTTGTTGCGTAGCAATTCCATGCGCTATTTTGACAATGGCTTTGTCGACAGATCAACTAGTTGGTCATGAGTATGTACATGTCTGACTTAGATGTTTCCTTTTTGCTAAGTCACACACAAAGTGAAGATTGATTTGAATGTGTTTATGTGCAAATGATTGACCGGGTTAAAACTGAGATGTGTGGCTCCAAGATTGTCACATAACAGTTGGGGAGATTCATTAATTGGAAATGCTAGTTCTCTTAAAAGAGTAGATAACCACATAGTCTGGGAAGCTGCATTTGCTAGAGCTCGATATTCAGCCTCTGTTGAGGATCGCGCAATGGCTCTTTGTTTCTTTGAGCTCCAAGAAATGGGGTTGGATCCGAAAAGACTAATATAGGCAGAGGTTGATGTGCGGTCATCCACATTTCCAGCCCAATCGGCATTGGAGTATGTTCTTAATACTGGAGAGCTAGCTTTCTTGATTTGAATACCATAGAAAATGGTTTATTTTAAGTAACGGATGAGCCTTTTTGTTGCTATCCAGTGAATTGTAGTCGGCTTGTGCATAAATCGAAAGAGTTTGTTGACTGCAAATGAGATATTTGGACACGTCAAGGAAATGTATTGAAGGCTACCAACAATTCTACAGAACTCAGAGCTATCCACAACAGCAGCGCCATCAACCAATTGAAGGGATTGAGTGGTAGGGAGAGGTATTGAGACATCTTTTGCACCACTCATACTTGTGTGGGCTAAAAGTTCACTGACATATTTATGTTGTGAGAGGTGTAATCCTGCCTGGGTAGAAATTACGTCAATTCCTAAGAAAAAGTAAAGAGAACCCACATCCTTGAGAGAAAACATGTCACCCAACTGTTTAATGATGTTGGCCACAAGTGTGGAATTGTTCCCAGTAATGACAATATCATCAACATAAACAAAAAAAAAAAAAAATAGAGATCAGAAGCTTGGCTATAAATGAAGAGAAAGGGATCTGCTTTGGAGTTGTGAAAGCCTAGCTGAAGAATGGCATTTTTGAGTACTGTGTACCAAGCCCGTGGAACTTGTTTGAGTCCATAGATGGCCTTTTTTAATCTACAAACATGATTAAGTTTTAAAGTCCATCTTAAAAGGCCAACATTGTTAAGAAAAGTGTCCAAAGAACTTATAAGTTGGTCTATGTTTTTTTTCTTTATTAGATGTGAGATTATATCCCTTAACATGGGTAATGTTTCTGATGTTTGATAAAGAGATTGACCTTGTGGAGAAAAGGAAAAAGATGATAAAGCTTTTGTCTGAATATCCCCTTTTGGTTGAGGAAGACGGTCCAGATTGACTTGAGAATGCTGATGGGCGGGGTTTCAACTTGGATCAGTTCTTCATAAAGATCACCATAAAGAATGTCAAAAAGGATAATGACGAGGATTATGATTGTGAAAATGAAATAGTGTGGCAAGATGATGATTATATTCATCCGATCAAAGATATCACCTCTGCAGAGTGAAAAGAGGCTGTGTTTAATGGATATCAGTCCTTTAGTGCTTCTTGTGCACAATCGCTGCAAAAGGTTAGCTCTAAAGCTATCATTTCCCTCAAATCTGTTTTCATAATTATTTTATTTTATTCAAGTTGGTATTTGCTGTTGTTGACCTCATTTCCAATTGTAGCCATGTAAGCCAAGTCTAACACGCTAAGAAGGACAAACGGTCTAGAAAGGTCTAAGAAGGGGCATGGGAGTGGCTCAAAAGCGCGAGACAACAACATTCGGAATCCAGTGATTCATTACTGGAACAAAACTAATTGTAGTTTTTGAAAGCTATGTTAACTCGGTTTTATTTGCAAGAGAGTAAAATGATATGTAGTGTTTTGTATTGACAGCTGCATCCATCCTACAAGAGTTATATGGAGGAGAATTTATAGTAGTATAAACTGAATTGTGGTCCTCGGATGGGAGTCCATGTGGCTTCATCTCTTTAATTCATATATCTAATCCTAGGCATCGCTTTTGACTTTCTAGCCTGCTATGCATTTATTAACTGTGCAGAGCTGCCACTTGATTTGACAAGAGTTGACATTTAAACTCTATGATAAACGTTCTATCAATCATTCAAAGAAAATACTTGTGCAAATACAGATCTCTTGAAAGAAGTGATATGATAAGGTGCTTTGAAGGTTTGAGCATAAGGGCCTCGGACTCACACACCTCGGTCGATGGTCCTCGGACTTCATGACACTGAGCCTCGATTGAAGCATTGACTATGTTGTGTTCCTTGTTGGTTTTAAGGCCTCAGCTCCTATGTAATGTGCTTCGGCTTGAGTGGGCCAAGTCGACCATGTGCAGCCATGTGTAACGAGACGTAACGATACAAAATACAAACAACAAGACAATTGAACTTTCTCAAACTTATTACATAAGGATAAAAAGATTTTACTATCCAACATATAAAAAATTAAAACGGTCACGAAGGACAATTGCGAGAATGAGTTTGTCGGGTTCTCTTGGTCCCAAAACTTTGTATTCTTTAGTGTAGAAACCTTGTGAAGCCATGTTGCCCATCGTGCCATTTCCTTCTCGATAATTTTAGATAAGACCAACTTGAAATCGACGATACAAAAATTTAATCTCGTCCAAAATATGAAGAAATTCAACGGACAATGATTTATCAGTACGACCATCCACGCATCGTGCACCAACTATAGAGTCAAATTCTGCCCATGTGTTGAATTTGAAAAGATAACCATTTTCAAAACAAAGTTTCAGACCTGGCAAGAGTGCGTGAAGTTTTGCCTCTAAAATGTTTGAACAACTTTCATCATAAAACTCGTGATGTGCAAACACGGCATCCCCATTCGAATTCCTCAAAACTCCTCCGTCGACGTCTAATGAACCTCTGAAACAACCATCAGTGTTGAGTTTCAGATAACCTAATGGAGGTTTAACTCATTGCACTAGTTTAGGATGACGCTGTTGTTTAAATCCCAATCTGTATTCAACCTGTAGTTACATTTTAACATGGATTTTTGGAACTGATTACTAAGAAAGCAATAGTGTTTAGAACCATAAATAATCTATGATTATCTG